AACAACTCAAATCCATAGCACATAGCAAAAATCCAAGACAACAATCCATAAAGATTTATAAAGCAAGTTTAATATAATTCCATGGGCGACAAATATACATAAGTTCAAAGTAAAATACATACATAACCCAACAAAAGAGAAATACATAGAGAGGAGAAGAGATAAACCACAAATGTTCTAGTTTGTTAGCTCTGGTCAATGAGAAATTTGCCTCTAGTCATCCATAAGCAAAGCCCTAGTGTTGTTATCTAAGCTAATCCACTACAAAAATGAGGTTGGTGGAGTTGGGAGAAAAAACACACCCCTAAAACCATCACCCTCCAAAATGACAAGAAATGAAAATATAAAGAATTTATGATTCGCGACCGTCGCCCAGCGACACAAACACGTCACCCAACGACGGCTTCTATACAATTGGCTCAGGTTAAGCCACATTCTCAACTGAAACAAATATCTGATGTTGCACAGTGACACAGTGCTTCGCCCGATGACTCTCTTTATTTTTTCCTGGCGACCTAGACGCAAAGCAAGGCAGAGGCAACATCAAAATTGGCTCTTCTCGCCCATTATCACCCGGCGAAAGAAATTTCGCCCTACGATGCATGACAGCTCAATAACTTCTATTGCTTCCACTGCATAACTTCACCTGGCGTCCAATCTTTCACCTTATTCCTTTATTGATCCAAAATGCATCTTGGAGCTTTTATTTCTCATTAATCCAACCATGCATAAATACCTACAAAACATATACAAAACTAATCAACCAATATAATATGTACACAAAACACAATTAAACGTATTTACAACAAAAAGTGGGGTTATTCAACTGATATTAACAACAAAGAGTTGATAAGTGCAACAAAAGGTATATACAAAATAACTACACTTTTAGACTTATCAAACTCTCTCCAACTTGAATCATTGTTTATCCTCAAACAAAGTCTAATAACCTAAAGAACAAAGAATGATAAGTCAAAGAATCACGAATCAATAGGTTTTGAAAATGGAAAACAAATGCAATGATTCAAATGAAAATCAGTACACACAAAGTAAACACTTACCACTAAAATACGACGATAACATAAACACGAAACAAATTCTAAATACAAAAATCATGCCAAACATTCTAAAATAAGACTAGTTCCTTAATGAATCACACCTAGCAAACATAATCACCGGTAGATGAAAAACACATAAAAAATGGGGTATTTTCACTCATCCAACAATCTGCAAACAATAGACTAAATTATGCATTCATCCAAAAATTTACATTGAAAATATATAAAGCAAGAATCTCAAGGGTTTTTCAAGGTTGTAATATAGCTTGGTTAACAAACAATTGATAAGTCCTAAAGCTAATCGAAACAAAAACTTGCCTAAATCTAAAGGAGTAATTACTTCCACAAAGTTTCAAACAACAGAATTTCAATCAAACTTCTTCTTTATCACAAGTTTCACACCAACACACATCACTTATTAACACAGCATTATTCCATTTTTTTCTTTTTCAAAGCTTTTTTCATTTTTTTTCCTTTCTTTTTCTATCATTTCTTTTTCACATTTTTTTCTTTCTTTCTTTTTCTTTTCAACCTCATAGCAATCAACCAATAAATACACAATCATTTTTCTCCCCAACTTGAATTCAACCAACATCTTAGTGAATACTCCCTACTTTCTAAGGCAAGGTAAAAATTCAAACCAAAATAATGGTTGAGGGTTCAAGAAAACAACGAATCAACATCCATACAAAAAGGGGAACTAAACACTCATAGACAAGAATTTAGTAAATACAATATGGATATCGACAAAAAGCTCAAAGGGGTTACTAATGATCACACACTCACAAGGTGAATTAACTATTTGGCTAGTTATGCTCAAAATGAAAAAAAAAAACTTTGATCATGTTCAATTGTTCATACAATCAACCCAAACAAAAGATTAAACATAATAAAATCTAGTTAAAACAAGAATTATGGCCTCTAGCATATGTGAGCAATGGAAATCTACCTCACAAAAAAAGGGTGGGAACTAAAGTGATTCATAAATGAACAAGAATATAAAATAATGAATGACATAATAATTGTAAAAAGTCTAAGTATCATGAATATGCTAAAGTATAGAAAGTGATAAACACATACCTCGAACGTGTACAAAACTTTAACAAAATCATTACCATGCATTCGCAAGTCGAAACGATTAAACTTGACAAATCACCTCATTATTCTACAAGTTACCAGACCAAAACTTGAGTCCAAACAATAACAAGAGAATCAGAAAAATAATACTAAATCTAATTACTACATAACTACATAAAACATACAGTATTTACAAACTTTTAACAAACTTCCTCAAGCTAAACACGACAAGCTTTCATAAAAACTCAACTGACATAATGAAACAAATGGGTGAAGTGAATTAACAAGTTGAAAAGTGAATATTTGAAATTTAAAAACTAATTTGAGTTCAACTTGTTAAAACAAAAGTCACTACACTACCTAAACTAACACAAATAAAAATAATACAACATGCTTGTTTTACGTCGTAAGCTCGACGTCTTTATTGTGCGAGCTAGTAACCTCCTCTCGTCATGACATGGCATTGCCACACCACAAAAACCTAAAGAAAGTGTCCTAAAATCCATACAACAAACGTTACAAAAACGAGATAATTCACAACAATACGTGAAAATCAAGAAAAACACATATATACACAAGTATGGGAAGTAAACACAAAACATGTACAAGTAAAAATAGACAAGTTTATGTACACATTCTATAAAACATATACATTAATTACAAAACTCAAAAGCAAAAAAAACTATCGCAATGAAAAATAATAAACACCAATCCCCGACAACGGTGCCATTTTGTTGCTGCGGTAGGGAGGCAAGCAAAAAGTAAAGTAATATTTTCTGGGTGATATAGGTTATATCGTATCGTGTCCACAGAGTTTGGTTTTTGAATCTCCGTTCGACAAATCATTCGTTAATGAGTTTGGGGATAAATGGGTTGAAAATAAAAGTATCAACAGAAAATAAATGTAAACAAAAGAAGAAAAAAAACTAAAGAAGAACATATTGAGCCTGCATATAATCTACTATCCACAAACTTCAATCTATCGACCAGTTACATTCAACCTAACAATACTCATCAATGTCACTATGTATCACTCACAACCTAAGTCATTTCTAACCCAAATCGAGAGGCTGACTGTATCACCAAGAAAATGATCTCTCTACCTCCTCAACAACACATAAGACAACTATGTAATTGCACTGACGATCTCTTAACACAACACAACCACACAAAGGAATTAAGCTCAAATACCCTAGTAGATGTCTTCTCTAAATCTATCTCTAGAGTTCAGAAACTAACAAATAATCATCCTAGATAAGAATCTAAGCAGTATATGTCTATAACAACTTAAATCCCTAGCACAACAAAAATCCAAGACAATAATCCACAAATATTTGTAAAGCAAGTTTAATATAATGCCAGTGGAGACAAATATACTAAGTTCAAAGTGAAATATATACCAAACCCAACAAAATAGAAATACATAGAGAGGAGAAGAGATAAACCACAAATCTTCTGGTTTGTCAGCTCCAGTCAATGAGAAATCCACCTCCAATCGTCCATAAGAAAAGCCCTAGTGTTGTTATCTAAGCTAATCCACTACAAAAATGAGGTTGATGGAGTTGGGAGAACAAAAACTCACCCCTAAAACCATCAACTTCCAAAATGACCAGAAATGAAAATATAAAGAATTTATGATCCGCGACCATCGCTCGGTGACACAAACACGTCGCCCGGTGACGGCTTCTATACACTGGGCCTAGATTAAGCCACATCCTTAACTTAAACAAATATCTGGCGTCGCCCACCGACACACTTCTTTACTTGAGGACTCTCTTTATTTTTGCCTGGAGACCTAGAAACGAAGCAAGGCAGATGCAACATCAAAATTTCTCTTCTCGCCCACTATCGGTCGACGACAAAAAAATTTCCCAGCGATGCATGACAGTTCAACAACTTCTACTGCTTCCACTACATAACTTCACATGGCTTGCGATCTTTAACCTTATTCCTTTATTGATCTAAAAATGCATCTTGGATCTTTTATTCCTCATTGCTCCAACCATGCTCTAATACGTACAAAACATATACAAAACTAATCAACTAATATAATATGTATATAAAACACAATTAAACATATTTACAACAAAAAGTGGGGTTATTCAACCGATATTAACAATAAAGAGTAGATAAGTGCAACAAAAAGTATATACACAATGACTACACTTTTGCACTTATCAGTTACCTGTCCACACCTCATATGCAACTTTTCCATCAAATGAAGCACGTGGTGACCTGTTGACTAGATAGAAAACCATATTAAGTGTTGTTTCCCAAAAATATTTTTAAAGACTAGCATTCAATCAAAATCATCTTGCCTTCTCCGTCAGATTCCTATTCATCCTCTCTGCAAAACCATTTTGTTATGGCGTCTTCCTCACAAAAAAGTTCATATGTTTTCCATTCTCGTCATAGAAATGCGTGAACTTATTTCCAATGTACTTAGGTTCATTATCATACTGCAAATATTTTAATTTTCTCACTATCTGGTTCTCAACCTCTGCCTTCCATAATTTGAACTTGGAAAAGACCTCAGATTTGTGTTTTATAAAATAAACCCAGACCTTATGATAAAAATCATCAGTGAATGTCACAAAGTACCTAGAACTATCAGAGGTGGGCTCTTTTATAGGACCCCAAACATCAGAATGGACATAGTTTAAGATTTCCTTAGTCTTGTGTTGTCGATCTTGAAAGAAACTCTACAGTATTCCCCAAGAACATAATACTTGCACAATCTAATTATGCAATTGTGAACACCCTTCAGCAAATTCCTCTTATGTAGTTTCATCATCCCATGTTCATTGAGATGACCCAAACGCATGTGCCATAGTTTAATTACATCATTATCAGTTTTTACAGATGCTACATCACCCATAATTGTGCCCCTAATAACTTATAAATGTTGTCTGCAGTCTTCCTTGTTGTCATCATTGTCATTTCACCCTTGATAACCTTCATAATGTCTTTATCTCCATCTGATCGGAATGAATAAACATTTACTTGAAGAGTATCCAGAGAAATGAAATTCTTCCTTAATTCTGGAACATAACACACCTCACTTAAAATGTGTGTGCCACCATCATCCAAAGCAATTTTAATTTTCCCCTTTCTGGTGATGCTACAAGTTATATCATCACCTAAATAGACAAAACTAAAATCACATGCTTTTAAAAAGTTGAGCCACTCCCGATGCGGTGTCATATGGTAGGAGCACCTAGAATTAAGAATCCATGCATCAGTGTACTTTGCAGATGAAACGCAAAGCAAATCCTCTTCACTGCAAGAACCATTATCCTGAACTACATTTGCTGACTTGTTTGGATAGTCCCTCTTCCAATGGCCAATTTGTCTGCAACCATACCATTATATTGGTTTTATATCCTTGGACTTGAATCTATTTTTCTTTCTAGAATCCATTGCCTACCTTTGCCTCTACCTCGTTTCTGACCTCCCTTCACAAACAAACGTTCATCTAAACTTCCTCCACATTCCTCTACACTTTGGCAATATTGTGTGTGTTACAAAATAGTAGAAGAAATAGAACCCGTTGTGATTTTTACCTTCTCGTGAGTGAGAGTGGTCACCAAGTGATTATAAGAGCTTGATAAAGAGCACAAAAAAACAATGGCTTTATCCTCATTGTCAACCTTCACACCAAGTCGTGTTAAATTAGCGAGAATGTTATTGAAAGCGTTGACATGAGCCTGCAAATCTCCATGTTCCTGAATCTTCAGGATATAGAGACATTATTTCACGAAAAATGTATTCATGAGCATCTTAGACATGTACTGATTTTCCAATTTATTCCAAACTTCATTCGGAGTTGTGAGGTCTAGGATATGATTCATCACATCATCAGAAATGCAAAGTCTTATCAAACCTACGACATTTTCCTCCATCTTAATCCAATCAATGATTGCAATGTCTGTTGGTTTCTCATCACACGACGCCTTTTGTAAACCTTGTTGAGCCAACAAATCCTTAAGTCTCATTTTCCATAAACATAAATTGCTTGTTCCGTCGAACCGAGTCACTTCGAATTTCACACCTCCAGGGTTATGTGTCATCTAATACAAATTTTTAGAATAGTAATGCAAATACATATCAAAGTTGAGAGAGAAACACACAAAAGCTTTGTTCACGCAGTTCGGCCAAATTGCCTATGTCTACGACTATAGAGTAGATATAGTTACATTTATTTATGTCTTATGAATTGCATATTGATGACAATGTTATAATACATATATATAATACAAGGTTTTAGTTTATCTAAAACCCAAATCCCTAGTTTTCCTCAACAAACAATTATTTGTACCCATAATTATCTCACCAATATGAGATATTCTCTTAACAATCTATAGTTATCTCAACAACCCATAATTATCTCAAAAATATAACCTATACTCTCAACAACTCATACTTATTTCAACAACTCATATTTATCTCAATAACCATAATTATCTGAACAATATGAGCCATATTCAACACAAGGAAACTACTTAAAAGGAATAAATAAACTATTTTGCAAACGTATAAGCAACACAAAGTTGGAAAATAATAAAAGAAAATGTACAATATTTTTTAGGGAGGTTTGTAACCTCCAAATGTGTTTTTTTAATCAACTATCATGTAGACTATAAGTGATGTGATGTGCCATGTCACCTTCCATTAGAGAAAGTATACGATAGGGACCAAAAGTGTGAACTAAAAATTTAACAGGACCATTATTCGAAGAAATTTTTTATTAGAACTAAAATTTAAATAGCCATTATTTAGGGGGACCCCAAACATATTTAATCTTATATAATATTACTTATGTATAATTAAGCAAATACTTAAACCCAAAAAGTTTACCTAAATGATAATAATAAAAAAGCATAACTAATACTATTAATCTCAAACCAAATTGAACATCTCAATAATCTATTTAATTCATATTTCTTTCTTTATCATTATCCAAGATCTGTTTAACCACATGCTATTAGGTTTTCTCTACCAATGCTTCAGATGTCTATTCTTGAATGTGTGAAGGTGTCTTAAGAGTTCAACATTGAATGAAAGATGACATAACTATTGATTTATAAATAAGGACAATTATTACCTCATATGTCAAATGGATGTGTAAGATTAAGTTAGAACCTGCCTTACTAAAATAAGATATGGGAAAATATGACTATGAACATTGCTAACAATTAGTTGTATTATTCTTTTGTTTCTCCATATAAGTTTCTTCTCTATTTTTCTTCCACTATCAACTCAAATTTCCATTCAAGTGTTTCATCGTGCATTTATTGTTGCAAATATGTCGTAAAATCTCAAGTTAGAAATGTGATAAAGAAAACATATTTCACAAAAACCATATTTTTCGGCAGGTAAAGGCAGTGCGGTGGAGCTGAAGGCCGCGTGTGTGGAAGCAACTAAGAAAAAAAATGGCAAGTGAAGACACAATTGGAGGTCGGCAAGGATAGGTCAGGAGGATCTCGTGTTGGATTGGTTTGTTTCACACATTTATTTGTTAATGAGCCATACATTGGGCCCGTTAATGTTTTGGCTGTTATAAATATGATTTTCTCTCATTTGTTGTTTAAGAAGTGTTGTATAAGATAACAATCCTAGTAAGAAGCAAAAGATAGAAATTTATAGGATTATATTTGTGGGGTTTGGTGGTATTTTGGGATTATCAAAGGAATTTAATAAACACTTTAATAACTTTGGGTTTGTTAGATTCATATACTGGGATTTTGAGAGATTTAGAAACACTTGGGTAGAAAATAGGGTTTAGTTTAAGAAATCAAAATGCTATTTTCTTGTAATGCATATTGTAATATGTTGTATTAATTTTTGAATTATAGTGAATCTAATAATTATTCTTTTCTTCTACGTAGATTGGTTTGATTAAACTAGGTAATAAATTTTCTCTGTGTTATGGCCTGTTATATTTTTATTGCACTTAAGTCATTTAGTTAGTTGTCATTGATATTTGTCTAACACATCAAAATATGGTGTGTTGAACTTTGAAATATTATTAGTTTTTCACAACAAGGGGTTCCCTCCTTGGGGAAAAGGGGTTAAGTTTACATGTGATAACCATTGGTTCCAAATGGGACATCGAGAATTTTTCCAGAGATAATGACTTGATGTTGTGGAAAGTGAAGATAGAAGCAATACTAATTCAACAAAAGTGTGTAGAAGCATTGAAAGGAAATACAATGATGTGTATAAGTATAAAACAAGAAGAGAAGATTGATATGGTACATAAGGATATAAGTGTCATTATATTGTTCCTTAGAAATAAAGTTCTAAGAAAAGTCACAAGAGAGAAGACCGGGTGTTTGGCTCACAGATCGTGTTTGAAACAACAATTTTTATTTACGTTTGGTAGAAAGTATAATTTTTGTGTTGCAATTGGAAAATTTTTATAAGATCCTTGATGATTAGAAAAATATTGAGGCTAAGATTGATGATAAGGAAAATGCTATCTCCTGTTAAGTTCATTACACATATCCTTTGAGCACTTCAAGGATTAACTTCTTTATGGTAAGAAAGGTAATATCCTTTTGGATGAAGTTCAAACAACCGTAAGATTAAAGGATGTTCAAAGTTAAAATATTTAAAGTTTGAAGATAGTAGTGAAGGTTTAAGTGTTTCAAGAAGAAGAATTCATAATAGAGGAAAATTGATAGGGAATAAATCTATTTTAAATTCCAAGTCCAAGTCCAAGGTTCCTCATAAGTCAAGGTTTAAATGTTTCACTTGTCACAAAGTCGGCCACTTCAAGAAGGATTGTATCAAAAGAGGGTGAAAGGTTATTGTGTTCAAATTGTAGTTTCCTCAAGTGAAGATGGTTATGAAAGTCTTGGCGCACTAGCGGTAACAAGTTTAAAGACAAAGACAAATTGGGTTATGGAATCACGTGTCAAAGGATAGTGAACAATGAAATTTGCATCTTTGAAAGGTTTAATGATGTTATACTCTTGTAGTAAATCAACTAGAAATTAAAATAAATTTATTAAAAACTCACAATGAATTGGAGTTTGTTTCAGAGAATTAATGAGTTTTGTATGAAATAAGCTATCGAAAGGCATAGAATCATTAATGGCACAGCTCAATAAAATGGCTTAGCTGAATACATGAACGAAACCATTTTGGCAAGAGTTAAATGGATGTTGTTGGAAGTTGGGTTACCAAATAATTTTTGGGTGTGAAGATATTGCTACAATAGTTTACCCTATTAACAAATGTTCATTCATAGGAATAAACTTCAAGACACTTGTGAAATTTTGGAGTGGAAAATTAGAAGACAATTCAAATTTCAAATTTGAAGATTTTTGGAGCTTTGGTGTTTGCTCATATCAAACTAGCACTACTACCAAAAACAGATTTCACCTCGGACGTTAAATGCATTTAACCTCGGCTAAAGTAGTGAGGTAACAGAGAGCGTCATGAGAACTTTCTACTTTCCACTTATCGAACCCTAGCAGCAACACTTTTATTATTTTCAAAACAAGTGTATCTTTTATTTTGGTTTATCTAGAAAATCGAGGGGTAAGATTATTTCTTTTTTTCATAAATAGTTTTTACATTGTTTACCCAAAATATTATATTTTTTTCACAGATTATTAAAATCAAAATCAAATTCCTAAGAGATCTAGATAAAAATCAAATTCCCTGAAGATCTATACCAAAGAGATATGTTTCCCAAGTTCTTAAGCGTTTCTAGATATAAAAAAAATTCATGGAAAATCTACCCAAAAAGATTTTTTATAGTAACAACTCATGAAATGGACAATGGTAAATATTTTCTCTATTTGGTGCGGTTACATATAAGTTAGTATCAGGGTAAAATCTTTTTAACTATAAAATTTATAGTAAAATCTTATTAATATTGAAATTCTGGTAGATCAGAATTTAGATGTCCTATAGGATGTCAAGACATTTGATCTAACTTCAATAAACATGGGCAAGGTATAAACATATAAAACAGTACTGAAAAACATAAACAACACACATGAATTATTAACCCAGTTCATAGCAACTCTCCTACTCTGGAGGAATAAAAAGCCAAGAAGGAAATTCACTATCAGTAGTACTAATTCAAAGCTAAACACCCCCGTTTACAACTTATCCCATAATCCCTACTCAATATAACTTCTACCTAGGAACTCCTAGATATGAGTATACCCACTCACTTCCAATCACGACATCAATGTCTAACATTCCTAGTCCTAGTTATTGTATCAACATCCTTTCACCTAAATGAAGATCACACTTCAAATACAAACAAACACCTTAATCAAGACACCCCTTGATTAAGAAGAACATACTTGATCTTGCTTCAAAGCTTTGATCAAGAACAATACTTAGAGTTACTTAGCATCTTCCTCCAAGAATAATACTACCTCTTGCTTAAAAGCTTCGAGGAGAGAAATAATAAAGACTACAACTCTACAACATCAGTCCAACTCACAATCGAGTGGAACACATAACCAACTCTCCTAGAGAGTGGTACAAACTCATCCTTAATAACTACATCTTTTCATTCACGTCTAGTCTAAATCATAGGTTATAATGCTTCTATTTATAACCTATCTCCCAATTGGATTTGGGCTTCAAAACACAGCTCTTTGGTTTACAAATCTGCAGAAGATTCTTCTACAAAATAGGTCTTCAATCAAATCTTCCTAAATTATCTCCATACTTAGAAAGTGAATATTCCTCTTGATTCTTGTTTGAATCTTCCAGACATACAAGTCAGCTCCATATAGGATAATATAATATCCTTAAAATGATATTTATATGTTAAATCATAACATAATCGAACTGTCCAACTTAGAACAAGCGCGATGTTGAATGCTTCTTCATAGGACATCTTTTTTGACATGTTGTTCCAGATGTTGAAACATTTCAACTCAACATATCTTAACATAAGATGGGACTTCTTGATCAACGTGTTCTTATTAGTAAGTTAATACAACTTATCTAACATATTGCT